TCAAGATTAATTCCTTTCTGACAAATAATAACTGGAAAGGAAGAGGAGCTGTTTCAGAAAGCAAAAGCAAACAGGTATAAAGTGGCATGGAACTAGAACATTAGGACACCTTGCAATTCAAAGACTAAAGTTCAGGAATAGTTTTCCAAGAAGCAGTAGGACAAAACCCCAAATTAACTAATTTTAAAACAGACATTTTTGCACTCTGATTTGCATGTGATGCAGTCCCGTTCAAATGTATCACAGATCAATCTATCTTCTTTCAGCTGCACTGGTTCACATCCTTCAAATTTAATATTTGAATCAGTATAAGGTCACAATTTGGCTTATACTATAAGAGATATCACAATATTTAACAAAAGATGTTCCTTCTTTAATAAAGAGAATACCAATTTTCAGGTCTGCCTCTCAAGATATGTTGCTAAGAAAGGTGATGCTTTACATGAGCATGGTTACTTCTGAAAAAAACCTAGCAGATTATTCTGCCTTCTGATATTGTAAACCCATCATCTCTACCCTCCAGCTATTTGCCAACAGGAACTAATGGAAATGGAAATTGCTTTTTTCTTTGAGACAATTATCATAGAATCATAGAACAGAATCGTTAAGGTTGGAAAAGACCCTTCAGATCATCGAGTCCAACCATTAACCTATCACTGCCAAGTCCACCACTATACCATATCCTCAAGCACCACATCTACCTGTTGTGATCAAGATTAATTCATTTCTGATGAATAATAGCTCAAAAGGAAGAAGGGCTGTTTCAGATAACAAAAGCAAACAAGTATAAACTGGCATGGAACTAGAACATCAGAATACTTCTTGCAATTCAAAGACTGAAGTTCAGGAATAGTTTTCCAAGCAGCAGTGGAACAAACCCCCGAATTAACTAATTTTAAAATATAGTTTAATCAATTTATGAAAGCAATTATATGATACGGCTGCATTTGACAGCCAGGACACGGACACGGAAACTCAAGTAATCCTAACTTGTAAGTACTCCAAAGGGTACTTTGAGATAAAAAGTGGGGTGAGATTGGAGTCCAGGATAGGAAGGATCTGTAAAAGTATACAGACATTTTTGCACTCTGATTTGCATGTTATGCAGTTCCATTCAAATGTATCTGCCTTTCCTTTCAGCTGCACTGGTTCACATTCTTCAAATTTAATACTTGAATCAGTGTAAGGCATAATATAAGCTTGGCTTATACTATAACACATATCATCATACTTAACAAAAGATGTTCTTTCTTTAATAAAGAGAATACCAACTTTGAGGTCTGCCTCTTGAGGCATGTTGCTAAGAAAGGTGTCGCTTTACATCAGCATGGTTACTTCAGAAAAAAAAAAGCAGTTTATTCTGGCTTCTGAAACTGTAAACCCATCATCTCTACTATCCAGCTATTTGCTTGTTCAAAACAATGGAAATGGAAATTGCTTTTTTCTTTAAGACAATTATCTCCTACCAAATGGCTATTTTAGTGTGTTTTTTTTTCATTGGGGTTTTTTTACTACTTTACTATTCTACTTTGTATTTTATTATTTTTCTACTATGATTAACAAAAATAGGTCATAATTTTTTGACAAAACAACAGAACTGACAACACAGAAGGAAAGAAAAAAGAAAAAACTGCTTCCATACTAAATCTATGAGGTTTTAAATTTCTTATTAATCCTTTACTTAGCAAGCAATGATAGAAAATGTAGCAATATTCAGCAGTCAGAGTTCTTGGCTCCACTATGACCAATGAGCTAACACAGCAAAATTTCCTTACTTCTGACCAGTCCAAAGCAACCCACTGTGGGGGACAGGACTGATTGTTACAGGGCTCTTTTTCAATAGGCCGGTGTGTTAAACAGTTGGTATTGTCCAGTGTCTCCTCCTCAGAAGGTCCAATCTTTCTGATACAGAGAACTGTTCGTGAACGCATTCCTCCATCACAGGTCTTACTGCATTCTGACCAATCTCCTATAAACCATCTGGATAGAAAAAGTTAGGAGACTCGGTTAATGCATTTCAGAAACGGAGTAGATAATTGCACAAACCCAGAATCCAAATAGCTTAAATTACTAAACCTAAATCATTGTTAATAATACATGTATTCACAGTGAAATAAAGTAGAAACTTATAGATCTTTTCACTAAGCATTTTAATTTATGCTTCACTGCAATCATATCTTCCAATAATAATAATAATACTTTGTATTTTTCTAGAGCAGCAATTTCCAGCCTAGGCTACAGTAGTTAGAAAGGAGTGTTGAGCCTGACAAAACTGCAGCTATTTAAGTAGATTTGTACTGGACTTGTATGAAATTATTCCTCTGAAAGTGGTTTGAAACTGGAAATGTTTGGGAATCACTGCTGTAGATTAAAGCACAAGTTAAAAGCCAAGATGCTTGCCTCTCTAGTATCATTGCAATAAAATAATTTGATCTCAAAATCGGGCTTTCTGAGATTTAATTCTCATCTGATTATGAAACATTTCTAATTTTTTTAATAGAAGGCTATACTGAAATGCAAAATATTCTCATTTATTAAAGTAAAGCAAACACTAGTAAAACATAATTCATCACATAAAAAGACCTCAACAAATATTTTAAAAATGTAAAGCACTGCATGATAGCTGCTAGAGGGACCTTCTGAGTGTTTGTGTGTACATAGTAAAAGTCGAGAGCTGTACAGCATATTTAGATTACTTTGTGATGCTGCAGAGATTAAAGCAGCTGTTAATCTGGCTGTAAAGTTATATTAAGTTTTTTCTACTGATGAATGGTTAATGCAGCTCAATTCACTGGAAATATCTCTTCACATTGTTGAGCACATTGGGTCTTCAATATTTCATATGTTGATTAGATACACTCACCTGAATCATCCTTGCAAAGGATGAAGTCTAATATGCTATCACATGCTGCCAACATGCCAAAAATGTCAGGCATGTCAGTCACTGTGGATGTTCCTGGAGGTATGCTTGGAGCTGCCTCATAAGATTTGTCATTTTCTGAAGCCTCTGTCAAAAAGATGTGCTGCTATCCTGTCTTGTATTACAGAATATGTAATATATTCTAATATGAACCTAGATCAATGCAGAGATGCAAACAAATATGCCATATTCTGTCATTATTTTCCCAGTGAAGAGAATTAATTTATGATTAGTCACCACCAAACTTATGCTTTTACCACAGTAGGGAGAATTAGAAGCTCTTCACAGCTTTGAGGAGGCTGATGTGTTAATTTTTAGTTAGTACTAAGATTTGCTCAAGTGCATTCTCAGGTACCTTTTATGTTTATACTGTATCTATCTCACATGACAGTACTGTTCATAGGATCCAGAGAGAATTACCTATATTTCTTGAAATCTGGAACTTTAGGAGTTACTTATTGTAATAACAAACAAAATACGGTGAACAAACACAGTCTATGCTGCTGTTCAAGAGCCTCAAGTATAATGTAACTGGCATTCAGTTAGAAGGAGTAACATTTTTCACCACAAGTAAAGTGGAATTGTGTTAAGGAAAGGAAATATTTGGCCACTCTGTTTAAAGAGTAAGCCTTACTGGGTGATAAATCTTCCAGCCAAAAGGGTCAAACTTCTTTGGGGAACTATCTTAAAAGATGGTATTTGAACAGCCTTCTTCTAGACTACTTACAGGATCAGGAATCAAGAACCCTTCCTTAGGAGTTTGGCATTTTCTATTCACCCTGTGGTGAGCATCAGAATGGAGGCAGCTGTGGGCTGAACTGCTCTGACATATTCAAGCAGATGCTGATTAATACACACTACCCACTTTCTGAATATTGATGACTTGAGTTTCACCATGTTCATCAATGTCCCTGCTGTACTGGATGGAGAATCCAGAAGTGTCCCACTTTGTGTTTTTTTTTGTTTTGTTTGGTTTTGTTTTTTAAATAACGGCAGTGCAAAAAATAAAAATTAACTATGTTAGAATAACTATGTTAACATCACTTTTTAAAGTGCTAATTTGTTAATAGTTAAACCACACAAAGGAAGGGACAGGGATGTGTTTGGTAAAAAGGAACTGACCAAACATGACCACTTCCCAAGTTCTGCTCTCAGGTACATGGTGTGAGAATTTAGTTAGTGCACTTATAGTCATGCTAAACTGTTATACAAACAGAAATCAAGTGCATATCCTTGCAGGATAAGCATATATTTACACATAGACTATGGGGACAATAATTTAGATCTGTTTGTGAGACAGCACATCCACCTTCAAACAAACTCAAGGTGAGAGCAGCGTAATGGCTTCACTTCTGTTTACTTTATGTTAAATGAGTATGGTACATGACACAGGGGGAATAAGTGTAGAAGACATTGCTCTGCCATCCTGCAACCTGTCACCATGCCCAGGGAAGCAGTTGATACTCTAGGAAGAAACTGGCTTCATGAAGACCTGTTAGATTTTAATGCATTATAGTATTGTCTCATTCCTCCTGGTGTCCTTCATGCTATAGTTTTACAGTTTCTAAGAGACATTTAAAAGAGACCACAGTATTTCTTTACTGTGCGATATCTACACTTAATCAGTATTAATGATTTTCATGCCCAATTAGAATTCGCTACAGATTATCATGAAACTTAAACTAACCAGAGCTCGTGAATCAATAAACTGTTGTCTTAAAATGTAAGAAGGAGCTGTTGTGCATATGCTGAAATTATTTTCTAGTGCAAAATATCACAGATGTTTCTAAACAGTTTTTGTAGTAAGATTAAGCTATGCTATAGGTCCTTACCAAATTTCATTTTTGAACAAATGAGCTGCTGTGTTTTTAATTATCTTTTCAATATGTAGCATACAGCTACTTTAAAAATAAAACTAAATAGACTTAACCAAGTATGCACCTAATCCTAAAGGCACACAGCATTACTGTACAACACTGAGCATCCTGGAGAGAAAGGTTGGCAAAACTATTATCAGTAAATGGTTTGGTCTACTAAGCAGTTTCTATGTTTACCATTTCTCATCTGAACACTTTAACCCAAATTTTAATATACTATACCTAAAAATATGGCAAACATTTAGTGTGCAATGTAAATATCTATGAGAAAGTTAGTCTCCCCTCACCTCAAGATTCTTCTGTCATTATTGCCTTAAGAATGGCCCCTAGTTCTTTTCTGAGCACTATTCACCTCACCTGACGCTCCCATCATAAGAAACTGCTTTGCTAGTATATCTTTTTACTTACAGTGTCTGAGGTGCTTTGTGTAACCACCACTGTTACTCAGTCAAATCAGGCCTCCTCTAGGTGAAAGTATGCATTTTCCACAACTGATTCCAGAGGAACAAGAAACCATAACCAAAAAATAAAACCAAATATCCTGTCTGATAAGACAGGACCCTAATGATAGATCAGAATTTTATACCAGCTTTGGTCAAATGGATTTATTATATATTACAAAGACTTTTCTATCTATGCAAAACAGATGTCCATCTTAGTGATTAATGACTTACTCAGGTGGGCAAGGCTCAGTGTTGCAGGCTCTTTGGTTTTCTGGAGGCTTACTGTCAGGGTCACAGTAATTGTTTTGTACAATGGAGTTGTCATCCAGCCTTTTACACACCACCTCTTGTTTCTGCACACCTTAGGATGAAATGAAACACTATTAATTAATCATTCTTGCTCTTCTACTCGTTGAGTTAAAGTATATTTCACCTATTGATTATTAATCCTACTATCCCCACTTTAATTGGCTGAATGCTCCAGGTGTGTGAATTCCAATTGACTGAATGCCCCCTGACCACACAAAATCTTTCATTTTCCTTCAATTTTAGGCCACCCCACTGAGAGAGGATTTTAAATTGCTGTTGTTTTCTAAAACAAAGGGAATATATTTATAGATTTACTAACAGATTGTTTTTATTTGTATATTGCACAAAATCCATTTTCTGTCTACCCTCCTCTCCTAGTAAAAGACACTTCAATTTCCAAAGAAAACATCACCAAATAGAATGTGGTCACACTTCAATGCAGAATTATTGTTTATGTGCTCTGGTTTAAAATAAAACAGCAATACTGGGATACAGTGTTACATTTTTATACATGTCATCCTATAAACATTTTCTTCATTAAAATAATAGAAGCATTATTCATTCTGAAAGATGCAGTTTGTCTCTGCGAACTCTCATTTTGTCTGGCACTTCCAGCTCCTCTTTCACTGTTAACCATCAACAGGGCGGTTTCAAAATTGATTATTATTCCCAAAACATAATGACACATCACTGCCAAGGCAACATTATAAGGTAACACATTAAGCAGATTTTCCAATTTTTTAAAAAAACAGGATCTAAAGAAAGGCATTAAAAAAATATTGATATGACAACAGTGCAGCTCAGAGTATCGCTGTAAACAGTGGTAACACACGGCTGCCTCCTCTGTTTTCAGAACAAGCTGCATGATGTTTGCTAGCATAAAAAGACTGTGGATCTGCAATTCATATTCAGTTCTTATTGAACATGAGTAGTCATAATACTGAAATAATAGGATTATTTGTATAATAAAAGTTGCAAAAAAGCTCTAAACCTTTCTTAAAAACAGAAACAATTATTTAACTTTTTCCAAATTGTGAAATGCATGCAAATAAATAGGGATTAAAACATCCTGGCTTCAAATATCTGCCAACTTTACTTTACAGCCCTCTCTTCATTTTAAGACAAGCATTTTATAGGAGGTAGACGTGCAATAATAAAATTAATTGTATAAATATGTTTTTCAGACACTGAACACCCACTAAAAACATGGGATTTTCTTTCACCAAACATTTGTAGTCCTTTTGCTCATTTTAAAGTAGCTAAACAACTTACCTTGCAATTGTTTCATTTGCTATTCATTATGGACAAGAATCAAATCTCCTACTTTGGTTCCTAAAATGATATCTATATGGAATTTAGGTATTTAATTCCAATAGTGAGTCAAGCCTAGCCTTGAGATGCCTTAAGTTTGGCCCGCAAAGCATCCTGCTTGGCTATGAACAGAAGTCTCCCAGTCTAAGCACAGAGGCATGTGAAATGTCTCTATGATGTTATGTGCAAAGGACCTGGGGAAAATGGTAACCTCCTTTTTCACGAGTCTTGAGGATGGCATGCAGTCCCCCATAAGACTGCAGATCCAGAAGTAGTAGGTATGATCCCTTCTCAACCCTGAGGCGATTCCTACTTCCCATGAGCATACACTAACTTCTGTGACAGTGATTATTTTAGCTAAGGTGGCAAGACTGTGGTTTCTAGTCTGTAGATTATTTCTAGTTTTCATTCAGTTACAGTCTGATGTAAAACGCCTAAACCACCTTGAGAGCAGGGATGAAAATCCATACCTGCCTGTGCTAGATGAATGTCTTATTTGCTGGTAACAGATTAAGCCCCTTTCTTGTCTTCCTGCCATTGGCCCCATGAATCTTGCATCCCTGGTTGCACTGTGGCCCAGAATGCTTATTAAAAAATCTTCCCTTTCCCT